CTGCATCGACACTTCCGCGCTCCACATCAGCGCCCGCATGCCCAGCCCCAGTGCATCCCACAGCAGGGCCAGCCCGCGTACAAAGGGCCACTGCCCCCATTTGCGCGTATAGATCTTGGCCGTGAGCGGCTCCTCGTGGACGACGATCGTGCCCTGACTGTTACGCACGGCAATCGACATCGCCTTACGACCCCGCATCATCACGCCTTCAAGGACAGCCTGACCACCGTAGTATTGTTTACTCACAAATCATGCTCATATTGTGGAGTCGAAGGTTTTTGCAACCCCATCTGCCGGGCACCTGCAAAAGCTGAGCCGTAGCGAATTCACCACTGCACTTCAGTGTTGTTTCGAAGGTGGTGGTTGACCGCCGCTGCAATGGGAAAAACCGGTATTGCGGCATCAATCGACAAGTCGAGACTGCATAAAGCGAACGTGATTGTAGCACTGCTGTATTGGATGGAGCAAACCCCGGCCAATCCTGTTCGGTAAGCGTGACACCTGCAAGGCACCCGCAATATGATGGCGCCCCGGTCGTCTCGTCCGCACACGGCGCAAAAGACCGGCGGCCGTCAGAAACACGCAGCCCCTTTGGGATGCACGCCGGAAATCAGCCCAGGCAACAGAGATTCTTTGACAGCCTGAAATGCCTTACAGTATCATCATTTACATAACAGATGCGTCCGGGCCGGCCTGTTAGGAAGCGAAGTGCCCTTGTCTCGCTGCCCTTTCCAGTTCAGGCGGAACTCGCTCTTGGCATCTATGCGCCCGCATATCGCGAGTAGCGCATCCATCAGTTCCGCTCAATCGGAGCGGGAAGAATGAACTGTCTTGCGGATCGTTGGAGGCTGAACAATGCGACACATCCTATTACGATTTTCTCTTCTGCTGGTGGCGTCTCTTGTGTTGACGTCCTGCGGCTTGGCGCCGCCCGCGCCGGTAGACGAGCCGCGCCCGGCCGCTTCAGACGCTGATGCAGAGAAGATCATATACCTCGGCGCCGCTGTCAGCGAAACCGGCAGATTCTCCCGCGAAGGCAAAGACACCCGCCAGGGCTACCTCGTCTGGCTGGACTGGGTGAACAATGAATACGGCGGCATCAAAGTCGGCGACGAGCGCTACAAGGTAGAGATTGTAATGTACGACGATGAGGGCGACCCGGACACGGCCGCCCGCCTGGTGGAAAAGCTGATCAATGAGGACCGCGTCGACTTCCTCCTGGGCCCGTATAGCTCATTCCTGACCCAAAGCGCGAGTGCAATTGCCGAAAAGTACGGCAAAATTATGATCGAAGGCAACGGCTCCGCTGAAACGCTCTTTGAACGGGGTTTCCAGAACCTGTTCGCGGTGTTGACGCCCGCGGTCGACTATACCCGGACTGCCTTGCAGTTGCTGGCCGACATAGGCGCCAAAACGGTCGTCATCGCCTACGAGGACACCGCATTCCCCACCAGTGTAGCCGATGGCGCCCAGCGCTGGGCCGCAGAGTATGGGCTCGAGGTGTTGGGCGTCGAGACCTACCCCGTGAACGTAGCCGACGTCAGCGGCATCATGTCAAAATTCAAAGAGTTGGAACCGGACATCTTCGTGGGCGGCGGCCACTTCAACGACGCCATCCTCTTCATTCGGGCGGCCAAAGAGCTGGACTTCAACCCCAAGGCGATGGTGATCACCGTCGGCCCCAGCAACCCGAAGCTGATCGAAGAGGTCGGCGCAGATGCCGAATATGTCATAGGCCCGACGCAGTGGGAGGCGTCGATGAGCTACGCCGACGACTACTTCGGCACGGCCGCCGAGTACGCGGCGCGCTATGAGAAGATGTGGGGCGAGCCGCCCACCTACCAGGCCGCGGAATCGACTGCCACTGCGCTGGCCCTGCATATTGCCATCGAGCAGGCCGCCTCGCTGGACACCGATGCCGTACGCACAGCCCTCCGCAATCTCGACGTGGTCACCTTCTACGGCCCCATCAATTTCGATGAAAGGGGCAGGAACGCCGGCAAACCGATGGGGGCAATCCAGATCCAGGACGGTGAGATTCTGGTCGTGGCGCCCACAACGCCGCCATTGCCGGCTCTGAACTACCCGGCGCCGCCCTGGAAAGATCGCTGATCGGAAGGAGTGAGCGCAGAGGAGTGAGTTTGGCCGTTGCTGAATTCAGTGGTTTGGACACTTGGCAACGGCCAAATATAGAGAGAGAAATTCTCACTCCTGGGGTTCCTCACTTCGCGCAGGTTACGCCTATGGACCAATTTTCGCAAGCTCTTGTAAGTGGGTTGTTGCTCGGCGGCTTCTACGCGGTCATGGTGCTGGGGTTTTCCGTGATCTGGGGCGTCATGGGTGTGATCAACCTGGCGCACGGTGAATTCCTGATGATCGGCGCATACCTGGCCTGGGGTCTGTCCCGCCTGTTCGGATTGGACCCGTTCGCCTCGCTGGCGCTGATTCTGCCCCTGATGTTCCTGGTCGGCTATCTCTTGCAGATCGTTCTGATCAATCGTATTGTCGAGCGTCCCCATCTGATGACCCTGCTCGTCACCTTCGGCGTCTCGATCGCGCTCGCCAATCTCTTCAAAATCCTGTTCACTTCGGACCCGCGCAATGTGGCCGTAGCCTACAACGGCTCCGTACAACTGGTGGGAGTCACTTTCCCAATCGTCAAGACCATCATCTTCGGCGCAGCCCTGTTGATTATGACCTGCCTGCACCTCTTCCTGCAGCGCAGCCGCCTGGGCAAATCGATCCGCGCCGCCGCCCAGAACAAGACTGCCGCCCGCATCGTTGGCGTCGACATCAACCGCGTCTACGCCATCACCGCCGGTATCTGCATCGCCCTCACCGCCGCCGCCGGTGCTATGCTCAGCCCCACGCAGGCGATCTTCCCGTTCATGGGGCCTCCCTTCACCTTGAAGGCGGTCACGATCACCGCACTGGGCGGTCTGGGGCGTATTCCCGGCGCGCTGATGGGCGGCATGGTCCTCGGCGTCACCGAGATTTTCGTCTCCACCTATGTGGAAGGCATCGGCACCAACCTGGGCGTCGCCACCAGCTTTGTCCTCTTGGTCCTGATCCTGGTGTTGCGGCCCCAGGGGATAATGGGCGGTCTGCGTCCGCTCGAGCCGGAGGCCGAGTGATGGGAACCGAACTACCTCGAAAGCAGAGCGAGGAGAGAGCAAAGAGAAAACCTCTCATCCCGATTCCCGCTCCTGTTCACTCGTTCCTCGCAGGCTGGGCCGGTTTGACGTTCTGGCTGCTGCTGCTGCTCCTGTTGGCTCTGTACCCATACACCGGCGTCACCAGCGTCGCCCTGTTCGTCGGCAGTCAGATCTTTGTGCTGGTGACCCTGGCCTCCAACTGGAATCTAATTGGCGGCATGACCGGCTACGTCGACTTCGGCCACGCCGTCTTCTTCGGCATCGGCGCCTATATTATGGGCATTCTCGTGACCGGCAGCCCCCTCCTGATTTCCCCGCAGTGGGGCTTCTGGCAGGCTTTGCCTGCCAGCGGAGTTGCTCGCAGCGCTTCGCGTCTGTCGCGCTCTCGGCTCTTCTGATGGCCTGCCGACCTTACGTCTCAAGGCCCTACTTTTCCATCGCCATGCTGGGTAACCTCTGGTGGCGATGCGCGAGGATTTTTGTTTTTTCTTTATTCTGTTGGTGTTGGTGCGCACGGGGCGTTTTGGGGGGTGTGTTTTCTTTTTTGCCTCGTCCCGGGTCCGGGGGTGCGGCGGTAGGGCTTGTTCCGTGATTGCTTTTTGTGTTGTCTCTGTCTGCTTTCGGTGACAGCTGCATCTGGTGTTGGGTATCCGTATTCCTTGCTTTTTGTCAGCTCTCTTCCTTGCGCCGTTTTGCCCCCTTGTTTCCCTTCCCTGTGTTCGTCTCCGTTGCGGTGACGGGTTTTGGTCTGGACTTTTTCCGCGGTCTGCCACCACTGCCTGTTGGTGTCCCCGAGTTGTGATGGTGTTCCTGTTGGCGTCCCGCGGCTCGCTCGTTTTTTTTTTTTTTTTTTTTTTTTTTTTCCTCTCTTTTTTCTTTCTTTTTTTATTCTCGTTGACGTTGAGCCTTCTCGGTTGCGTGAGGGTGGGGGGGGGGGGTGGGGTGGGGACCTTTCCTTGTTGTTCTGTCTTCGTTTTTTTGTTGGCTCCTGGGACTTTTACCTCTTCCACGTTTTCCTTTTCGGTTGGTTCGATCGTAAGTGCGTTCTCGTTTTCCGGTTCCTCTTTCTCCTCTCCTAATCCACCGTTTCTTTTCTCCTTTCGTTCTTGGCACGGTGCTCGCTGAGTCTTCGTCTTTATCTTTCCCATCCCGCGCCTTAGGCAGTCCCGCTTTCTTTTGCAGCGCGTGTGCGACCGATTACGGGCGGCGGCGTCGGCCTGAACCTGCCGCCGCTCCTCAACCGTTTGGGCGACTACTATCTGATGCTGGCGGTCATGGGCCTGGTCGTGTCGTTGATCTGGTGGATCCAGCGCAGTGAGTTCGGGCAGAGCCTGATCGCCATCCGTGAGGACGAAATCGGCGCAGAAATGCGCGGCATCAACACCACCCTCCACAAAATCGCCGCCTTTATGATTGCCGCTTTTTTCACCGGAATCGTCGGCGGATTCTGGGCCTGGCAGAACACCTATATCGATCCGGATGTTGTCTTCGTCGAAGCACGCACTGTCGAGATGGTGATGATGTCGATGCTGGGCGGCCTGGGCACGGTCTGGGGACCGCCTCTCGGCGCAGTAGTCATCTACTTTTTGCAGGACCTCCTCTGGGCCAACCTGTACGACGTGCATCTGCTGGCGCTTGGCGTGCTGCTGGTCGCGATTGTGCTGTTCCTGCCGGAGGGCATCCTCGGCACGCTGGGCGACCGCAGCAGCACATCGCTTGGACGGCTCCTGAGGCCGGGTCGGCAGAAGCAAATAGTGGATACAGAAAAACACACACATTAAGCCGCAAACCGCGACTCTGACGTCTGGAAACAAAGTACTCTGGAAGCGGAGGGTGGGGCGGTGGGCATACCGTCGTTTCCAATACTTTGGCGGACTGGCCGCTGTCAACAACGTGGATTTCGCCGTCTATCGCGGCGAAATCGTCGGCCTGATCGGTCCCAACGGCAGCGGCAAGACAACCCTCTTCGACTGCCTGAGCCGCTTGCAGAAAATCGACAGCGGCAAGGTAGTTTTCAAGGGCCGGGACGTGACGCGGGCGCGCCCGTATCAGGTCGCCAGAATGGGGCTGACGCGCACATTCCAATCGGTGCGCGTCTATCGCAAAATGACCGTTCTCAGAAACATGCTGATCAGTCACCAGTGGCGGGATACATCGATCCTGCGCATGCTCCAACCAGCCATGCCAGCACGCCCGCCGCGCCCATCAACTGCTCGACTTCCTCCAGATCGGGCATCTGGCCGACGAGGAGGCAGGCCACCTGTCGGGCGGGCAGCGCCGCCTGCTGGAGATCGGCATGGCCCTGATGCCCGACCCCGATATCCTGCTATTGGACGAGGCCACCTCCGGTGTGAATCCAACCCTCATCGAAACGATCAAAGATCGCATCCGCACCCTCAACGCGCAGGGGAAGACCTTCCTCCTGATCGAGCATAACATCAACTTCATCGCCGATCTCTGCAGCCGGGTCTACGTACTCAACTACGGCGAAAAACTGGCCGAAGGCACTCCCCAGGAAATCCTGCAAAACGAAGCGTGATCGATGCCTACTTCGGAGCTTGATTCGTATCGGTGGCCGTGACCCGCGGCCGTCCCCTGTCACCGAATTACTGACCACTAGCCATAACCACTACCATGACTGCCTCTCCTTGCCGTC